ATGCGTTCTAGCAAAAATATCAGCTCTGACACAGGGACATACACCCATTCGAGCGAGCCTCCGAAATACGTCAATTGAATGGCATTTCACTCGGAGAATGACAGCAAACTAAGCTTCAGTCTGCACTTTCACTCAATTGCTGTCGGGGGTTGGGCGGTGAGACTTGAAAGCTGGCTTTGATTTCACTTTCGGCCCGACTGCTGTTGACATCTGCCATGCCCCAGACCCAGCCCCAGACCCAGCCCCAACCCCAGCCACAGACACAGACCCCTCAAGTGTCGTGTGTGTGTGTGGCATCAAACTAATTTTCCCCCTGTTTAGAGTTCTTGAACGTGACACAAGTCTGCACTCGGTGCATGTCCATTCCACTCTCACAGAGCCACCCCTGTCCCCTTTGGGTGCCTGTGACTTCCATCAGCCTCAGCTTCGACAGGAGGCAGTATTCTGCTGGTCTCCTGGTCTCCGGGTCTCCGGGTCTCTGGTCTGTTCATTGCTTTTCAACTGATTTGAAATCATTTTAACCCAAATTGCATACAATTGAGTTTGTCAGGAGGTGGAATCCCGGAATCTCCTGTACACAGTCGGCAGTCCTCAGTCCACAGTCAGGATGGGTGCTAGCAGAGGGGGATAAATGTTTGTATGTAATTGAAATGCCTGAGCTGTGAACTTGTCCTCCTCCGAAGGCGTTGATGGTCTGTCTTCCTCTTGTTGCTGTAGTTTTGGATGGACTGGGCATGAATTAAGGTGGTTGGAGGTAATTTGCAGCAGCTTGGATGAGATTAGGCCTGACAGGCCACTCTTTGGCTGAGATCAAAAATTGAGCAGGAACTGGAAACAGAAGGTGTTTGTAGGAGGTTGGATAGAGATAGATTTCCTTATAAGCTAAGGCTGCTCGAGAGCCGTGTGGATCGTGAGTGCGAGCGTGAGATCGCTCTCAGAGCTTTAACAGAGAGCTTCCACAGACTGTTAACAGAGAGCGGTAGCAGGCTGTTAGCGGAGAGCGGCCAAATGCTGTTAACCTGTGATGTTAATAGCTCTGTTGCCCTGAACAGATGATTTTTATCAAATTAAACCTGACTTATAATGTAGCTAAGAGTAAGTAGTCGCAGTCCTACTTGCTTCCTTTCTATTCACCCTTTTATTTCACCCCCTTTCCTACTACTGCAATTCATAATTGCCTGAAGCTGGGCAAAAGAGAAGATTCTCAAAAGATTTACATAGGAAACTAACTTTTTCCGCCCAACTACAATCATAATTACAACAAGCAGCAGCCTAAGTACACGACAGCCCCTGGTTGCCCTTCTGGACAGTGAAGGGTCTTTTGGTGGGGCGGGGGAAAAGTTTTTACATTAACCAAAGTGCGGCTATTAAAAATTCATTAATTGCATGCAACGGAAAACGGGAAAAAAGGCGCAACAAAGTCGAGGAGCTAAAAATGCGCAGCGAGCGAAAGTTTAATTGATTTGTGAGAACCAAAATGGTGAAATAATTGATAGATAGCTCGATAGAGAGGGAGAGAGAGAGAGAGAGAGAGAGGAAGAGAGCGGGAGAGAGAGAAGAAGGGCTTTTGAGATACGAACCCTTAATGAGCAGTGCCCCGCAGTGAAATCTGGAAACTTTTATGGAATATTGTTTTGCTGGTTTTTCATATTTTATTTTGCACTGTTTCTATTAATTAGAAAAGTTCGGCCACAGCAACCGGAATTGTTCGGTGAATTGAATTTGCAATTTTCCATTGGGAAAATGGCAAATGAATTGCGAAAAAGTGGTAAACTTGTCTCGAATACGAACAACTGCCCGAGTATTACACATATTTCATCGGCCAGTGGACCATTGGACGTCAAAGTAATTGAAAACGCATGCATCGATGATGGCCAAAAAGCGAATTGCAATTTTGTTTGGCCAAAAACCATATTGAGGCCACTCAAAAATGCTGCCCGGACAGCCGCAATATAAATTTGATGGCCAGTCCTGCAGTCCTTTCCGATCCTGGCCCCCCACGGTCCCTCAATCCCCAAAACGGGCTCCCAACCAAACCGACACTTTTGGCCAGCAGTTTAATTACCATTTTGGGGGCTGCAAAACCCAAAAAAGAGAGAGATGCGAAATGCATTTCAAATTTTCAAGCAATTTTTCACACAGAGGGATTTTTCATGGAGAGATGATAGGCGGCCTGGCAGTTTGTAATTATAGTCGCATATTTATTAGACTAGAAGTTTTGCCCTTTTGTAGGTTGTATTTCATTCGAAAAGTGTCTGTGGCTAATGCTTTGGGATCCTTTATACAATTGTGAGAGGAGGACAAGGCCCAGGTAAATGCAGGATAGAACAATTTTTGCCTGCATTACCAAATACTTCAATAGCATAAGTTTTTAGGCATGTCTTTGGTCTTTTAAAGTACATTATTTACCTAATTTTAAAGTTTTTATTCAAACAGAAATTTGATTTCTATTCAGTGATATTTTACATTAAACTTTTGGCTGTGAAATCTTAACCAAAGAAACCCAAAAAAATTCCTTAAAGCCCACCCAAAAGTTGTCTGGGGAATAAAATCATTCGCGCTGCTCACTAAATTATGCAAAATTGTACAATTATGTTAATTAATTGACGCAGACTTGAACCCACCAAACACCGCCCCTTGGCCTGGTCGCCAATTAGCGCCATAAAACGCAGGCGAAGCGATTGCCAGGGATTTTATTTTGGCTCCTCTGCCCTTCACACGCCAAAAGGCTCCCCGAAACAAAAGCTTGGGGGGAAAAAAAAAACCGAATGGGAAGCCCAAAAAATATTATATGAGTGCCACGCCCAGTGGCCGAGGAGGGAGGAGGGGCCAGCCGCTGCTTGTTAACCTTACATAATTAGCAACAAAATGTTCGCTGTGTTTAGAACAAAAGCGCAGTGCTATGCAGAAATTTCCACTCCCCGTTAGCCCCGTACCATTAGCCACAGCCAGAGCCAGAGCTGCCAACTGGTTTTATTAATTTCATAATTCAGCAGAAGCCGTAGGAACAGAACAATGGACGAAGCCTGGAAGGGGGGGAGGACGAGCGCGTTGTGGTCCCCCTGTCTGGGCTTAATTATTGGAAAATTAATGAATATGCCATGTTAGATGTTTTCCCCATTTTGTGTGTTCGTTTCTCTCTGAAGTCTCGCCTCGGCCATGTTTCGCATGATTAATAACCCAACAAAAAAAAAATAACAGAGAAAAAAGGGGATAAGGGAAATTCAACATGTTCATTTCTGAAAATTTCTTCATCCCGGTACATGATTCAATTTTTATATTTTGTTGCTTTTGTCACTTACAAAAGGGTTCTGCCATGGCCACCGTTGCCCCTTAAGGTATGCTACACGAAACCATGAAATATGATGTGCATATACGAAAATCTCGCTGGCTTTTTGATCTTCATTTGTTGAGCAGCTGAAAGCGGGGTAGATTGGGTATATTTGTTGGAGTACTTTGTGAGTTATTGAGAATTTACATTCGCTGCGTTTGTTTCGTTTCGCATGCGAGTACAAGCCAAATATTCAATATTCCGCTCATCCGAAAGTGCTGATTTGTGCTATGGACAAAGAATGTCCCCATGCATGGGGTCTTCCATGGTCTTCCGCTTAAATTCAAACATGAGTCAAATGGTAGATGGCTTGCTTATCGGCATGGATCCATTCGGATCTTAGATTCGGAGTTTAGATTGTAGCTAACTCTATTTCTCTAAAGGTAATTGCATATTCGATCAGTTGCACAGATGTTTGCTCAGCATTTATGTACGAGTGTACGAGTACTACCTTTCCATAAATATATCCATGGTGCATATTTGCCAGCATGTAGCCCACTTTCATATGCACCACGAAATGTAAATATTTGCACTTGTAAATGACATTCACGTGTGCCAGTGTGTGCCCCCCCCACCGTTCGCTGGCCCATTTTTGGGGTTACGTTTTGTTTCTTTCTTTGCTCCACTTTATGTTTGATCGCTGGGGGGACCTGGGGTCGAGACTCCTTCGCTCTCTGTTGATGACGGTGACGGTTCACATACGGGGGTCACATACGGTTGGCCTTCTGCGTACGCAATTTTACGCAGCACATAAAGCTCTTCATATTTCACATTTCATCTGAAAGAGTCGAGTAGAGGCGAGAGTCAACCCTGGCTTGACTTGTTTTTAACGTCGTTAGTTTGGTTTCCGAAGCCCGATTATCGCAGTGTTTGGAGCGTATGATGGAACCATGGTATACCAAGTCAGGGGTGTTGAGGGATTGTAGTGGGTGTACTCCAATGATCGTTATACCGCTTCTCTGTATATCTTCCCTTCTATTCCATTGCCGTGTGGTTCATAGCAGCGCTCTCAGAGCTATGGACGCTGAGTGCAGGGTACTCCTATAGCCATACATACCAACTTTACGTAATTTCTGTTGTGCGAGTACGAGTGTGTGCCGTGCTCTCTCCAGCCACTTGTTGTATGACGGCTGTGCTGTATGCTGTTGTGTGCCTGTTGTCGCTGTCAGTGTCAGCTGGCGAGATTTATGAAGTGCAACATGCCAGAGACTGGAGATTGAGAGTGGGACGAAGAAGAGGAAACGCATTTATCTATGCGGGGAATGGAATGCGCTGCCCCGTTCTTCCTTTGAATCATTGGGAAGGGTCTCTTATTTAGAGGTTCTCTGATAAAAGCCTTGGCCCAGTTTTTCCCCCGGGGCGAGGCTGGGAAATCAAATTGAAATTTCCACTTTAAGTTTTCCCTTGGGTAACTGGTCAGAAGGTCAGGTCAAAGAGCAAAAGCATTACCATATATCCCTAGTCAAAGAAAATTATGCTTAAGCAAAGATTGCGTAATAAGCGCTAATGAGGCGCCCAGAAAGGGGTAGGGGGCACGAACGAAAGGGCAGCGCATGAAAGTCAGCGCTTTTCCCGCTGATTTGGCTAATTTAATGAAAATTTTCGCAGCCAATTTGTTTCTTAATGATGAATAATACCGTTTAATTTCAATTCTCGACCCTTCTTGCAGCGCGCAACAATCCGCAGGACGATGCCGAGGTGATTAAAGTGCCCTCTCGCCCTCAGTCCTCCTCCGCCGCTGGCGAGCCGGATTTCCATAACTTTGGCGGTGTCATCGATACGGGCGCTGGATATCCCTTCCTTCAGTCAAATCCGACGAGCTTCAACACGGGCTTCTTCGACTCCTTCGATGGTGAGTGCGCTGTAACCTGGGCGTGGGGGGCGTATGAGTGATATTACGTATACGCATAATGGTATTTTAATTGAATAATCATTTAAAAAATGTGCTCCATCCATAATTACAAGTCTCAATTGCATTTCTGTTTCGATCATATCACATTTATTCCTGCTTAATGACGATGCGAGAGAGCTGAACAATGGGTGAAGGATATGCATACGCTCTGATGGCTCAGACATTGGATTAAATGCATGATGTCCCTTGGGTCAAGCCAATTAGCCAACTGTCCTTTGGGGACTTTTTAAACTTTCCTGACTCTTCACCCCCCCCTCTCGCCTCTCTGGCTTCAAAACGAAAAACAATTTATCAAAATATTATGTCAAATTTTGTGCAGTCCCCAGACAAAGTTTATTTATTCTTTTGTATTTATTTCTATATTTATATAGATAGATAGATGGATAGCTAGAGGGGGTGGTGGTGGGAAGTGGAGTACAGTAGGTCAAGCCAGTCTGTTGGCCATTAAAAGTGAAAAGTTTGCCCACCATCTACCAGCCTCATATCTGCTCGGTGCTAAGATTGTAAGACGCCTCGATAGAAGATGACGATGACGATGATGAAGCTGAAACTTCATAAATCTTATCCTAATACTCGTGCGTTTCCGGGGGGGCGGGGCTGGGGGTGTGTAAAAACTTGGCAAAGCCCATGGCATTTTATATGCATGAAAGATGTTTTGTTCTTTTTTAGACTCGTTTTTCCTAGGGAGGGAGGTGGAGATAGAGTGGGGGGTCAACAAGATAACGAAGCGTAGGAAACAGCATATAGACAAATAGAAAGTTCGGGGAGTTGCGGTTGCCTCGGAACTTTGTTGTCAGCGATTTATTTGAGTTGTAGATGGAGGAGCAGAGTCCACTTGGAGTTCTCTATGGGGAGGGGTACTATGTATATTGGGGGGTGAGGTGTATTAAAGTAGAAAGAGAAAGGCTGTTGGGGTATAAAGATGAAAGATGGATAGATATAAAACATGTGACTTGGAAGAGGAGGTCTATTGATTTAGGGATAGGTTAATATAGTGACACATACTCGGATGGATAGATGGACTGCTACATGTTTGAAAAATAAATAGTGAAAATATTTGACGAATATTTCAGATATGATATAGATAAATCAATGTGGGGATCTATATTCCCATATTAAAAGTGATTGCTATTGATTTATATTGATATAGATATTGGTCAATGGATTTCTATTTCAAGTTATGGATTCATTTCGGAACTTTCCGCTTTAAGAGAGGCTATCCAATATTCCTTAGAGCATAAAATTTATATAGGTACATAAATCAAGCAAGCTACGTTTTCTCTCTACGACAAAGTATTAAAAACCAACAAACTTCAGCAAAGTTTCGCCATTTCCTGCCCCATTATCAATCACTAAACGATACATACAATTTAACAGCCAACTGAAGTACTTTTCACACCTCTTTAAACGCAAATTATCAGCAAATGAATTGGCGACAAGCCGCGACCGGGCCAAGAGCTAGTCGTCCAAGCAATGCGGTCAAGTATTTATGACAAGGTTGAAGAGAGAAAAGAAAGACACTAAGGTGACGACAGTATGTCGGCAGAAAAAACTGGGGTGTGTTTTGGGAGGAGGGGACTGGTGAGGGTGGGTGAGAATGGTATTACGACAGGGCCAGACAAGGCAATTGCAAATTGCAAAGCGTTGGCGACACAGAAAACGCTTTTTAGTGCGTTCACGGATTAAGGATTTTCAAACTGAAAAATACATTAGCATGAGACAACGGCAACGACAACGAGAACGACAGCGATGGAATGCCTGCTTAGCACTTAGACACAGCCAAGACCAAGAGCCAGCCAGACCTAGACGAAGGGCACCTGCTTCGATTCCCAGAGAGTCGCTCTCGCTTCTTCGCTGCGCTGCACTTTTATTTTAGTTTGTTTTTCCGCTTGAAATTATACCACAGACACCCGAAATTTTCCTATTTTCTATTTAACATTTTTTTCTTTTTGATCTTTTTGTTCTTTTTAACTTCATCAGACCTTTTCCGTCGTCTGCGCACTCGTCTTTGGCCTGTTATTGCCACCGATTCGAGTGAGGATGGAGCGGGTGCTGGTGCCGGTGCGGATGATTCAGGCGATGGCATTGGATCTGGCTTCTCCTTCGGTCTGCGGCCCTTGACTCCCCTGAACCCCAAGAATGGCAATACAACCTCAACGGTTAAGGTATGTACTGTGTTTGAGGGAAGATGTAACATCTACAGCGGCTAAAGAAATGGCTTGAAGGAATACTTAAAGACGAACAGTAAATCAAAGTCGTTTAGGGAATGGCATTGGAAGGGGGAATATAAAATAATCGGATAGCTTTCTAAGGCTAAAGCCATTTGGAAGAGCATCTGCTTATATCGATTTAAATTGGTTAAAAGATTTGAAAAATCGAAGATACCCACAAAAAACTTGTTTAAGCTGTTCTTGCACCTAAAAGTATACTGCAAAAAGTTTGAATCGATTATGTTTTAGAAATTTGTTTGCGTTTGTACAGCTTAAAAAGATTAATTTAGATATCTCTTAGACGAATTTATCGAAAATATACCGAAAAATCTAAGTTTAATATTTCCACAATATCTTAAAACACAAAAAACAGGTTGTTGATGGCCACAAGGTGGAGATAAATGAGACGGTGTACGGCGACACCAACAGCCTGTTCAAGGTCCGTGTGGTGAATGTGCGTCCCCTGGACAGCGGCGAGGAGGTGGCCGAGGGTGTCCTCACCAGCCAGGGAGATTTCCAGCCTGCCGCGGCACCAGCCACTTCGGCCCCGGCCATCTTGCCCACCAGGCGGGGCGAGTTCGATAATTCGGACGATGACGATAACAGCCGCCGCGAGCCCCTGGAGAAGCAGCCCAAGGACAACGAAGTGCGCGATATCGACGAACCTCAGGTATAATCATATTTTCGAAGCATTTAATCCCGGAAATCCAAAAATCCGTTTAGCAAACGCTCTACTAACCAACAGCAAATATCAACAATTGTATATTGAGCAATTTATAAAGAGAAAACAATATGTAAACTTGTAATATATTTACTTACATATATATAAATATTTCTTATATTTTTAAATAAAGTTTTGCCTTGAAACTAAACGATCCAGCAACTTGTACATATCTTTAATCTTTAATTGAATGCCTGCTTTTATTTCTAAACTACTAAAAACAATAAATAATGCAAATAAAAATGGATTTCGGCTTGGTCTGGTGAGAGGCTTCTCGGTTTGGTTTGCTTTTGTTTTATTGTATTTTAATTTAAAGCTTTAATTTTCTACTCTTTATTAGATTTATTTTTAATTTAAGTCCACACCCCCCCCACTTTTTTGTCGCAGTTCCGTTTAGGCCTTTAATTAAGTTTCTGTAATTTGCCAGGCCAATAATCTCTTCAGACCGCAATCGTAAATATTTTATTAACACGACAAAATGTTTAATTGTACAATTAGATGGATTTTTTCTATGGTTTTTTATTGCGTTTATCGTGTAATATGAATATTTGTTCATTGGATTTGTGAGTAGTTTTTGTTTGATTCAGTTTTTCAGCTGCGTCTAAATTAATAATGCAAACAAATTATAGTATGTGGCCACAGGGCAAAAAATATAATGCAACTGCCATATTATGCAAATGTGTAAAAATCACAAAACAACTCCCAGCCATGTGCGATGAGAGGCAAATACATATTGCGTAATTGACAGATAAAATTATTGCCTGAATCACTGAGAGTTGTGGTAATAAGTAAGCTGTTTGTTTTGAAGTCATTTCAAAATTTATTTAAACTTTGTTGCACACTCGTATTACGGGATTATTCATTCAAATAATGTGTGGGCAGTGACACTATTTATATTACATTTATATTAAACAAATGTATAATGTAATCAGTCATAAGAAAAGGCAATTTAGCCAGCAGTTGGCCTAGACTGAGGTGGGGCCATGTGGGAGGCCGATCATATAATACAGATGGAAGATGGATAGAGCGTGGGCTGATCATCAGCTTGAAATTAAGAGAACAAAAGCAAAGTCACAGCATTCTCAGAATACAATCAGTGTAATATTAGGACAACCTTTAAAGTCTTTTAGGATAGTATCAGCAAAGACTATGAAGAACTAAAAATATTTCAACAGAGCCAGATAGAAATCTCAGGATAGACTCTTCAGAGTCTGAAGCTCCGTTCGAAATACAAAATGCAGAACCATTGCATTTCAAAGAACTGCAATAATAGTCAGGTAGTCAAAAATGATATGAGTCTCAGGAGCTTAGGGTCTATAAGGTACAGGTACGAACCGTGAAATAACTATTGCACTTCACAGAAATTTAATGGTAGTCAGCTATTAAACCACGATTAAACAGAACCCAGCAGCTTATATGTACTGGTATGAGATCCCTATAAATCATATCTCTGTTCAGAAATTCTCCCTCTGTAGCGTACCCAGCGTTTGCCAGTTTAATATGCAATGTAAACCCCTTTTTGTAACGCACCTTACTGCAGGATAATATATGTACAGTCGCACTGCCCCCGTCGGCAATTGGTCACACCCGTTACCATCCATGCAGCGGTTCATGCATCATACGCGACAATTTTTCTTTTCGGTTTTGCTGCGAGTCCATTAATTACTTTTAGGCCATAATAAAAATTAATTTTTATTAAAAGTCATGCGCTCCGCTCGCATAAATCCTTGTCTTGGGCGGGGCTCTCTACCGTTTCGGCTATGGGCGTGGCAGCAGGTCCAAAGGGGAGGAGAGGTGGAGCCTGTATTTATGAGAATTTATTGTGGCGAAATCGACGAACGCTTGTTGGATATAATACTTTTTTTCTACTTTTTTGCAACATAAATCAGCGGAAAATTAATAAATGACCGTAAAAAAAAATGCAATGCGGCGTAAAGCGCAATTATTAACAACTTTAAAGTTGTAAGTGACATGTCAACGTTTAAATGCAAAAATTTAAATTTAAATAATGCCAGCGGTGACATTTTTGTAGCCGCAACCGGAAGCGAAAAGAAGAAGTGCAACTTCCACAAAAAAAAACTATTCACATAAGTTGCGAATATTATTATACGCTTTCAGGAGAGGTATTACTCTTTTGTTGAGGTGTTTGCAATGCTTTGGTATACAGAGAAGAAGGGACATAAAAAGTGATCATATGATTAAATATTATTAAAAGATTTCTGTCCAAAGCGTATAAAGATTTTCGAAAAATTAAAAATCAAATTAAATTACATTTACTTTATAATTATTTTTGTACGAAAAAGGTGATGGCATTTTTTTGTTAATTTCCATTTCTAAAGCCAACCGATTGATTGTCTTATAGATCCACTTGTTGCGTTTTTTTAGCTGCCACAGAAACGATCGAAATGAAAGGGTATCCAAAGCTTCGGTTCTGAAGGTAACCCCCGCCTTACCTCCCGTTCTTGAATAATTTGTTGTTCCTGCTGTATTTTCATTTAAATTTTTTGTGTGTTAAACTTTTCGTTTTTTCATCTCGCGCGGATATTGAAAGTTGTGGTTTGTTGGGGCTTCAGCTGGAGAGTGGGAGAAGAGGTGATACCCGCATGGAGCCTACTGCCTTCTCATGCGTTTATTTGAATTTAACATTCATGGTTATAAATATTAATATGCACGAAAGGGACAGCAGCGAACGAAAACAGAGAGAGCGAGAGAGAGAGTGAGGCAGAGTGCGATCCCTCGTTTGAGTTGAAATATTGAAAAATTGTTGAAGCCTGTTAAACAATTTGGCGACTGAGGCTTTTGGAAAAAGCATGTGCAAATACACAGACAACCCACACACCCACAAAGCCGCACTAGAATATGTGTTTTATTAATATTTTCCTATTAAAAACCCAATAAATATGCATATAATTCTCATATATGCCAAATTTTGATAACTATTTGCAAAGTACTTTGTGCATTTGCATTTTTCAATTTGAAGGCGACCAAAGTCAGGAAATGAGAATGGGAAGAGTCCTCCCCAATGGTCAGGTTGGAGCCTGAATTTAATGTAAGGATTGTTCCACCAATTTTTGACTCACTGTCAGTAAACACTATGCAGATTTTGATTCATTTGCCACATTCTTCAATTCGTTCCGATTCTCAGGAAATTCCCAAGAAACAGAAATCGTGACTCAGTCTTGGCGCCACCTATTCTAAACCTTTGCCTTGTTTCCGTACCGCGCCACCCAACAGATTCCAATTATTAAAAATAAAGTGATCCGTAACGAACAGAAATAAACAGATGCGCAAAAGTGTGTAGGTATTATTAATATGAATTTCTTAGAAATTGTTAATGAGCGACCGGCAAAAGTGGACAAAAACTGAGGGGAACTTGTAACGTCACAGAGACGAAGGCTGCAGAGCAGCAGCCTCTCACATGGGAACGAGACACACTGTCCCACCGGTCGCGAGACAGAGAGAGAGGGTGAGTGTGCCAAGACCTTAACGACATGCTGATTTATCAGCGACGAAGGTGAATCATGCAGTGCATAATAAAACGGAAATAATGAATGAAGACTGTAAGGGCTCGCGCACACTGTAGCTGACATCGGAGCTGAAAGCGGAGCTGATAGCTGATTTATAAGCTCTGAAAAAACAAACACACTGCACCGGTGCAAGTGCGTACATTGCAGCCTGAGCTGAGCTGAAAGCTGAAAAAGCTCGCTGAAATCAGCTCAGCTTAGTTTGATCGATCAAGCATGTTTGTTTTTTCAGCAAGCTGATTGCTGATTTTGTTCAAGTGTATTGGTTCATAAGTGATCGAAAATGGGCTGCAAAACATTTTTAAGCGAAATTACGGTTAACCCAGCGCTGGGGAATAAGCGGGACTATTAAAAATATTTGAATAATAGTTTTATTTCTATAATTTCTGGAAGGCGATAAATTGGGCAAAAAAGTTTTATTATTTACCATTACCAATGTAATGTAAAAATGTAATAATAATTCGTAAAATAAAAGTAATACGAATACAAACTCAACGAAAATGTGGTTAAAATACGCTAACGAAAAAAACGAAGAAAACTTCCGTCTGGCTACTGTACGTGCTGTGAAGTAATAATTCATTAACAATATAATAATAATAATTATAATGATATCTATTGATGCCACTTAAGGAGATAGACAAAGGGAGGCAGTGGTTTTCAGCTTTCAGCAATCAGATCAGCCGACAATGTACGCACCTGCAAGCTGATTCTGCCTGAGAAAAGCTCTCAGATCAGCTGAGCTTTCAGCTTTGATTTCAGCTCCGCTTTCAGCTCCGCTTTCAGCTATAGTGTGCGCGAGCCCTAAGGTTAGAGAGAAGAGAGAGAGAACTCAAAGATCGGTGTAAAGCTTTGAAAGCTTTGCTCATTTGTTAGCTTTGACTCTTTCTTGCTGTTCAATATGTTCAACAAATGTTCAATAACAAACGTAAATAATGAATGAAGAGAGTAGAAATAACAGATCACTGTTAAAGTTTGATGTCTCTATCTCATCTCTGTAAAAATAACAACAACAAGCTGCCAAGTTGTGGCTGGCTTGGTTTCTTTCTCTCTATAATGCAAAAGCTTTACTCCAAGCGTCTCTCACGGCTTAAGCTAGTAGCTTAAATTCTATAAAATCTTTGTGCTGGGCGCAAGGGAAGCTCAGTTTAATCTTACACACGAAGTCCGCTGATTGTGAGTTTTTTATCGGTTCAAGTTGTTCTATATTGTATATATTCTTTTAAGTAGAGGTGTGGTACTTTTAAATATTAATTTAACCATTTAGTTTAGCATGCAGCGTCTGCTTTTTAATCTTATCCGAAACTTAACCGCGTGATTGGCCCTTCTCGAACCTAAATTAATACAAATTTTTATCCAATTTATTTCACACGCACACATACTGCACCTGCAACCCATTATACACACACACACCCACACGACGCACAGTCCACAACAACAACAACACCAAGATATACAACAACAAAACTTGCCACCAGCTCGCCCGCAGACTCTGTAGCAGAAGGTACGGATTTGGAAATCAATAAGGAAATCATGGCCAATTTAGACACGGAAAGTAGTATGTTTGCCGCTGTAGAGGCCAAGGGAGAAGCGGAAGAGCTGTTCGACAGCCAGAAACAGGAACAGGAGGACTTTGAAGCTGTGGAGAAACTCGCCGAAGACTCTGCACTGTTTGAGGATGCGGACTTGGCCCATCGTCTGGCCCAGCTGCAGCACAGGGAGCGCGAAGAGCTGGAGTCTTCCGATGATGAGGACGGTGAAGCAATCGCACCAGTCGAAATGAGTGAAACCTTCAATGAAGAGTGGGAAACACTGGACCAGGATCAGGAACATGACCAGAACGAGGTGGCGGACGATCAGGACCGTGACCTGGACCAGGAAGCAGATGCCGGCAACAATTTGGACAACCACATTGACATCTACGAGAGTTCGTTGCCCATCGACCTGTCCCACGACATCGCCGTCAACGATTTTGCTGCCGCGAATCCAGACTTCCCAGTCAATCCCGATGCCGAACTGATTTCGGGACCGTCAGTGATCAAAGCAATGCCAATGTTCGAGAAACTGTCAATGGGGCCGCCGAGAAAGTGAATTTTGGCAAGCCCCACTCTAGTCTAGACATTGTACGAGTATTTAGTCTTAAGATTCTAGTTGTAGGCACCAGCATTCATCGAGGATGTCTCTGAGAAATCCAAAGATGATGGCATCCCCTCTATTATTTATCATTATAATTTAATCGTATTTATTTCGACAGCGTGCGAGTATTAAATGTGCCAAATGTGCATCCAAAATTAATTTATTGCCTTTAAAAAATAAATGAAATTTATAAAACACATATTAAACACAAACATTCATTTGATAAACGGAAAGTATCGAATAAGTAAAAGAATATTAGTTAATTTTCTTCGGGTATTTGGTGAAGAGAAACGGTTAGTTTAGAGAAACTAAAACTAGAGATTTTCTCTATTTTTAATGAATTAAAGTAATATTTAATTAATCCACAGAGCCATTGAATCAAGTTTATTGTTATTTCAAGTGTCGCATACTTTCATGTGCTTATTTTCAGCTCTCATTTAAAGCCTCGAACTGTTCGAGACTATGATGGTTTTATGGATTTAAACTGGATATGTGAATGAAACGCTGAATCGGCATTATATGCCTCATTAGTTCCTTGCAGAATGCGTATTAAAAAAGCAGCCTAGTTAATTATTTTTTATATTGCATTGCATTGGGGTAATTAATTGTGGTCAGCTTATGGTTAACTTAATTGCCTGTTATTCCTTTTGTCAAATAAACCTTTGCCATAGAAGCGTATTAATTGATGAATTTATTGCTTATGTGGGTAAAACCCAGAGCATTGCAAAGAGATATCCTTGGAAAATCAACTTCTTAATGTCAGAGTTCTAAAGTATGCCATTCCTAGGTTTATTTTCCCATGGGCAGCGGAGCCAGTTTAGCCAAAAGTCCAAGAGGTGCCACAAGAATGCCTGTGGCATGACCTTCTCTGGCTTTCCTGAGCAAACATTTTGCAGGATATATTTAATAGGTACGTTTTTTTTAGTTCATTTTGGTCTCTATTGTGAACATGTGTCGGTGACACTCCTTTTTTGTTACCTTGGTCGCATTCCCCAGGGCAAGGTAATTTTTTGTTGGCATTGAAAACGTTGTTTTCCCAATTGCAGTTGAATATCCTTTGTCTTGTGAATATATTAAATGCTTACATTTTAACATTGTCCGAGGCAAACAATTGAAAATCATGTTTTTAATATTGGCCATTCCATTTGTTATTTCTATTTGTTGAAGTACAGGGAAAATTCCCTGAGCTGGAAAGTATACATAGGGAAATTTAAGGTACCATTATTATTATTTATTAGAAAAACTATTATAAAGAGTTATGTATCTGATATATAAAAAACGGCATACGAACTGCTAAAGCTATCGACGCTGGAAAGACTTAAGACTTTAAGCCGCAAATCGGGCCTCAAGACCAAGGGGTTTCTAGAATGTAAAATAAATAAAGCTCTAGGACTTGGCACACGTCAATTATCTACCGATCTATTATAAATCGTCGTGATCGCAGACCTACTACATTAAGAGCAAAGAAAGCCACTTCCTGCACAGAATTTTTCTGAATCCAAAGAGACAAATTTAATTCTTTTTGGTCTTCATAAAACTCCATGAACTTTCAGAATCAGAGCCCATCCACTTGCAGCACAAGAATTAATTAGGGATATTTCGTAGTCGTAAAAGTCGATCATTGGGTAATTAAAGCGAGTATCCACTGTATTGTTATACGTAATTTAAAGGCATTTACTTCGACATTGTGTGGGAATATTTACGTTTCAATTTCCATTTTTGTTCTCTGTTCGATACGAATCTCTCTCGTGTGTGGTGGCTGTTGCTGTTTGGATTGCAAGCCCGTGGAATGCACAAGTGGCCGACATATTTGTGCATTACAACCAGGGTTGCCACCATCAGCCACCATCAGTCGGGGAGGATGTGCATAAAAGTTGTTAACGGTTTTTTGTACTGCCCTGCGAGTGCAACTGTGTGTGTATAAAGCATAACAGTAATTATGGCTCCCGTGCTCTCCATTCTTCATGCTCTTGGTCCGGGGTCTGGGGTTTCGGGTCTTTACAATTGCTCCTCTCCTACCTGTCTGCTCATCGGTTTATTCCCCCCCCCCCCCCAACCCCTTGTTGTATTTGCTTTGGCTCTGGCAATGATTGCAACTTTTCAATTTGTATTTACAAAAGCGAAACAATGCCAGTCATACTATATATCTATAGTGATATACGTTGGTACGATATATCCGTACATGCCCGTATGTCTATCTCCTGAGTTTCGGCTGCTGCACACAAAATACAGACAATCCCTCGTCAGACTGTATTCAGCTTTTTTCAACCACTTAAGCCGATGTTTGGCCAAACTTTATTGCACTTTTAATTATTTATGCGAATGCACATGGTACATGGTAAATGTTTTTTGGGTGTTGATTTATGAATGCATCTCGGGGCACCGTGACTCTGGTGTTGTATCAGTTGTACTTCCAACACCATGTACATAGCTTGTACCAGGGTCTTGCCGGTAAACTGAAGTGATTTTCCATAATATTATCAAATTTTAAAATGAAATTGCTATAAAGAAATAGGTGTGGGAAAAGCAACTTCAAAAGGCATAAATATATCTCTTTATAATCCAGACTATTATACGAAGGTTCCCTAAGATAGTTTCCTCTTTGAAGTCCCAAAAATTTATTCTTCTTAGGAATTCCTGTTTTCAGTAGGTTTTCTCCCTTTTTCCCATTTATCCTTAGAAAACTCTCAGGAAGTTAAGCTGTCTTTTGTGTGGGGACAACCTGCCTGATGCGATTTTTCACAAAAATGCAATTTGCCAGATACGCACCACAAAATTCAGGCACAACTAACTTAATTTAAGCTGACAACCCTGGCCAGCACTGGCTCTGACTTTGAGCTCCTTTGGGTCTGCTCTGGTTCGTTGCCTCGCGAGTGTGTGGCAGATGGGTTCCCTGGCCGCAACCGCAGCCCAGCCCCTGACGAGGCGATAAGGTGGAAACGTGATGTAGTCCGCAGGACCTGCTCCTAATGATGCCACATGTCCCGTGGCGGCCCCCCCGCTTCCAGCCATAACTAAATACATAGTTTAATTCGTGGCTCGACGCTTTGTTCACGGCTGTTGCTTCTGCTTATGTTTTTAATTCCGTTACGCCTTTGTTGCCAAAGGATTAGGGAAGGGTTTGGGCCCGCCCTTCCTCTGCTCTGCTCTTGGTTAATCCTTTGGAGCAAAGCGAGCACGGATTTGGCAGAGAGATTAGCACTCCGGTTTTTGCGGTTTGTCAGTTTGCTTTCGAGTGTTGCCTGCCACAGAGCAGAAGTTAATTAATTTTCGCTTATTTGATTGCTCGCCTGGTTATGTGTTTTTGGTGCTGGTTCTGGTCTACATATTTGAACACCATGGAGCACGCAAGTAAATTACCGTTGGTACTATATTAAAATGAATTTTTACAAGCGAAAACCATATCCATATCCTTCGGGATGCCCTTTAGGCAGAGGAGGCGGCTTCACTGCCTTGGGTAGCTGAGTCGGTCCCCACAATCCAATCAAAAACTACAGTATCTGCCGAGGCGCACAAAAGACGTTATTTTCGGTCCAAAGAATCCAAACACGAAATACACAGTCTTTGGCGACGCACGCGAGTGCCCTAGTCGGTGCCAAGAATCCAAAAACAATATACATATGTACGTTGCATAGGCATGATTCGAGGCGACGCGAACGATCGCTCAAAATACAATTGAAGTACCGGTAGGAAAATTGAATTAGAATTTGTTGACTATTATTTTGCAGTCTTTGCTAAGATCTTTTTTTTTAATACATATCTCTATATTTGCCAACGAACCATACTGCACTGTTACCTAGATCTGTGATCTTTTACAAGCCAGACATGGCTGGCTTCCTCTTTTTCGTTTTGAAGTGGCCTTTGTCTATGTGATTTTTAATTATATCCAAATTGTTGACCAACTGCTCCAGAATATCTTCAAGCCGCATCACGCGATTTTTCAGCCTAAAGGTTTTGGCAAACAAATGACAATGAGATGACAATATTCGAAGCGAACGCTGAATGTTCTTACCGATACAATTCCTTCTCTTCTATATCTGGATTAGTATCTTCAAAATTTTGGGGACTAGGAGAAGAGATTATGGAGTGATAAAGCCAGAACGTATATGGAACATTTCAACCAAGTAAATTTACCGCTGAAATCTAGTTCGCCTTGGGTCTTCCGTAGCTGCTACGGCTAAGCCAGCCCCATCGGACTGACGCTGACGGCGACGCCTTAGACAGAAGTAGAAGATCCAGTTGAAGGCTATACCAATCTTCCTATAGATGTACGAGCCCAAATGACTGCGTCCCGTTGTAATTTCACTCTTCACCGAGTTATAGGTCTCCATTATGATAGCCAGGAACATGTTCTAATGGAAGACAACCCATGTAAATTCAGAGCGTGTCCAGAGTGATGTTCAAATCTTACCAACAGTATGAAGAACATGAGCAGAATGTAGGTGAGGAAGTAGATGGGGCCCAGCACTCGGTTGGCCTGCTCAATGAGCTTATACTGAAAGTCGCCCAGGATCATGCGAACCATCGTCAAGATTGAGGTCGTAAAGGTATCAAAGTCTGGATGCTTAGTGCCAAAAAGCAGGAGACCCAACTGAGCATAGGCCAGAAAAACAATCCCAAACATGAGACTGAAGCCAGCCAAGTCCTTGTAGCACTACGAATTAACAAAGAATGTATAAATTATGGGTTTGTTTTGGATGGGTTTGTATAAGAAAATACCCTTCTCAGTGTCGTTGTAAACTGAACGAGTGTCTTGTTAAAACTGATGAACTTGAATATCTTGATCCACACGAGAAAAGCCAATAGGGCCATCATATCCACGTAAAGGTTGTTCCAGAAGCAAAGATAATCGATACAGAGAAAGCCATGATCTATCTTTTGGATGGATGTAATAGATTTAATATAGAAGGTATGCCAGATGTTGTAGACGAAAGCCAGATAGCAAAACTGCGAACGGAGGAGGTAGATGAGGAAGACATTTGGTTTTAATTTACGAAAATATTTACCAGCAATACGATGCCATCGAGAACATTGAGCAATGATCTGTAGTAGATTTTGAAGCCCGTCTTGCGTAGTTCATTCGTTTCGAAGATCGTGTAGTAAACGATCATCACATACCAGAATATATAGCATACCATCAAAAAGAGACTACGTTCCGTGAAGAACGAATACTCTCTCACAGTGCACAGGTGTGTCTGCGGTATGATGCAGCCCGTTGGTGGAATTTCTGCTATTAATCTGAAGGAGAAGGAGTACCCTAATTGCTGCTAAATTTCCTATTGAAGATAATACCAACTTGACGCTCTGGAAGATATCCGTATTCTCATTGTATATACTGAACTCAATCACACACAGCCTCGCACCGCGATCCACCCAGTTGAGGTCTTTCAGTTCCTTGATTTTCTTATTGTTCGCATCCTTCTCGTAGCTCAGATCAACGACATACCCACCGGAGCGGTATAAGGTGAGCAGAGTCCAGATGGGCGTGGATCCCAGGTCGCTCATCGACATAAACGAAGTGCCCCTGTGCGTCTTGCTGGTGTCCTCGGCCGACTTTGAGTATGGGGCATAGCAGGTGTTGAAGTACCGGATGAAGGCGTCGTTCACATAGCAGCTCCCTTTGCGGACGCGTATCTGCCGAATGCGCGGCGGACCGAGCATGAGGTTCTCCCGCAGGAATACACGTCCTCTGAGATAGTTGATCGAATGTTTTGAGTCGTTGGCCAAAATGCCCAATGCATTGCTACCATCACCAGCCACACCAGCACCACCAGCTTGTCTTTTGTCCACCTTTTCTCTAGCAGGGTTGTCCTTTTCTTCGATTTCCCTGAACTCCCGTTCGGTTCGCTCATTTCTAAAACTGTTGTCTCCAGTGTCATCGTCGATCTCCACATATCCATCCTCCATATACAAGCGATCTTCGGTGAGTCGGAATCGTTGCGACTCCTCTTCAGGACTAGAATCTTCTTCAGCAGTTGAGTTTGTTTCGGTCTCATCGTCATCGATTTCGCTTGTTGAGTTGGATGTGTCGACCGACGTACCATCGTCTAGGGTTATAGTCGTACCTCCGTGCAACGTTACCAAAAAGTTGTTCTCCAAATAGTCCCACCAATCAGAAACCGTGAGTATTTTCTCAAACGAGATTGTCACTGTGGGCTGCACAACCATTTCACGTACGCTAAACAGTTCTTTTATCGTATTGTTCAGGTAATACATGTACGGTCCTCGCACCGAAAGAGCCACTGAAAGGAAAAAGGAATTTGCCAAGCAATTGTATGTGCAGGAATTTATACTTTTGATCAAATAAATGTAACGCCCATAAAGACTACTGACTCGAGATTGGCGTGTAGTCTGCCAATTTGAAAAAATATGAATGGCTAGGAGACTCGGTGAGTTAATACTGTTTAATTTGAAAGCATGAATTGAGTGTGCGAATGGACTGGCCCAGTGGCGATGAGAAAATCGTTCAATGCTTCTGGCGGTGTCTTTTCCCAACATCTGAGTCAAGTTTGAATATGAACGCATAACGATGGGGACATTCTTTGTGCATGGCACCAATCAGCACTTTCGAATGAGCGGAATATTAAGAAGAACGACAAAGAATCGAAGTGGACTTGAATGCTCCATGTATGACAAATAAATTGTAATTTTGGACAAGAATATTCTCGGCCGTTTCACTCACCAATTGATGTAAGGACTAGGAAAATGAGGAATACTCCAAACTCCATGAGAGCATCGCGTACCTCCTCATCAGTCGAATAGTAAATCCGTGATTGCTTCACCTGTGTCATCTGGCGTTTGTTGAACCTTGGGCGTCTACTCAGAATCGGTGTTGGGGGTTTATCCTGGCTAGAATCTGGTTCTTTCTTTTTTCCGAAGAGAACTCGTTTCCTCTCTTTCGGTTTTTCGGGAGATTCCTCGATGGTCGCTTTTTGGGGGGATGGTTTTTTCGGCTCAGGTCGGGCAGCGGTCGGTGAGGCCACAACGGGCGATGAGGCTTTAGATGGTTCCGGCACGGGTACACGTTGGGCCATCTGGGCACGAGAAGGAGGCTGTCCCCGCCTGGTGGCTGGTCCTGGTCCAGGTGCTGGTCCTGGTCCTGATCCTGATCCAGGTGCTGGTCCTGGTCCAGGTGCTGGTCCTGGTGCGGCCATGTATTGTCTCGAAGGACGCGGCATAGTCGTCGGTGGGAGCCCACGTGGGTGGGGCAGTGGCGATATGCCACGTAACTGAGTCACTTGCGATATTCCACGGGGTAGAGTAGGCGGTGGACTGCCACGGGATTGAGTCGGCCGGGGACTGCCAGGGGCTTGAGTCGGCTGGGAACTGCCACGGGATTGAGTCGGCCGGGGACTGCCAGGGGATTGAGTCGGCTGGGAACTGCCACGGGATTGAGTCGGCCGGGGACTGCCAGGGTCTTGAGTCGGCCTTGGACTGCCATGGGATTGAGTCGGCCGGGGACTGCCAGGGGCTTGAGTCGGCCGGAGACTGCCAAGGGTTTGAATCGGCCGTAAACTGGCAAGCGTTTGAGTCGGCTGTGGAGTGCCTCGAGGCCGTGTCGGCGGTGGACTGCCATGTAGTTGAGTCGGCGGTGGATGTGGACTTCCACTTGGTTGAGTTGTTAGTGGATCGCCACCTGGTTGATTCGCTGATGTCCCGCTACGTTGTGGTTTCGGAGGAGGGCTCGGCCGTTGACCCTGTGATCCCTGTTTTTGATCCTTATCCCGTTTGTCCATTTTGAATCAAAACTTTAGCTAGAACTTTTTATTTTTGCAGTAGAAGTTGTGCTTTCAGATGACTGAAAACTTAGAACTGAGACCTGGCAAGACCCCAATGAAAGTCATGAATCTTGAAGCTTAAATAATGCCTACTCGGACCCGGACCCATGCAAAACGAGACCCAGACTAAGGTGGATTTCCAGACAACAGCTGCACATTCAGCAATGCCATTCATATGCATATTTCATGCGTTAACGCCAACATTTGAATTGCAACAGGAACGGGGGACCAGGGGAAGGATGCGGCTGCCGAGGAGGACCCTGAAAAGAAAGAGCCATTGCAGGCTGCTCTTGATTTATGGTCCCCCACTGCTGCTCTCCTCTTCCCTATGCCAGCTATCAGCGCCAGTTGAGATGTCAGTGGCGCATAAAGAATCCATGTACAATAGCACCTCTCCCAGCAAACTATTCCAGCAGCTCGTGTGAGGGATAGAAGGTCTGGAGCTGGTAGCGGACTTTCTTGAAGTTTTTATTTTACTTGATGCAATTTGAAACTCCTTTAAATGCATCTCAAAAATCTTCCAGAATATAGAATAGAAGAAGAACTCAACCTACATGTTCCTCAAGCCAGAAAAGCGCTGAGCCCTTTTCAAGGCTCTTCTTTTTGTAGAACCAAAATACATTTAGCCAAAGAATTTTTTTAAATATTTTATTATTTATTTGTAAATCTTTAAAACCTCTAGATTTGGTCTGTTTTTTGTTTCATTTTGTTTGACCTCTTGATACAAATACTCATGAAAATGCTTGAATCCTCAATATATAATATTTATTATGTTTAAAATTAAATTTTGCTCTTCAACGTAAAGTGCAATTTAAGTACAAATTGAACAACAAATTGTGTGTTTTTGTATTGAAATCAATTGATGCGAGATAAATTAAAATAGAATATAGTTTACAACTATTAATGACTATAAAATGATGTCTGAATTAAGGATGAAATATAAGCAATCCCCATCCCGATCTGGATGTATCTTTTTTGTGTGACGTTTGTTAAGATAGCAACTACATCTATTAGTTAATTGATGATTTCATGTTTTTTTACAGAATTTTCTACCAGTTATTTTAGTTTATTAAGGCTTTCATTTAGATGTTGCTTCCAACGAACGGAATTTCGAATGTTTTGCGGCTTGTTTTGTGCCCTACTACATTTTATTTTATGTATATATATTTTTTGTTTTTGTTTTCTTATCACTTATTTAACTTAAGATTAATTTGCTAAATTGTTTTTCATTTGATTGGTGCAAAATATGATATTCCTTTTAGCCTGCCATTTCCTGGGTTTCTGCTTTTGCTTTTGCTTAACTATTTGGCTTTGAAAAATACTTTGGCGCCACACAACGCAGCTTCATATTTCTGGGGTTTTACTCGTATTTTTTGGGTTTGTTTTTTGGATTTGTTTGCCGACCACATTGAATAGTTTTGGTAGTGGTTGATGGTGGTTAATGGTTGATGGGTTTTCAGCAAATGTGATTACAACAAGGATGCAACTTTTAGGCTACTTCTTTGGTTGGATTTGTGTGTGTTTGCCGTTTCGTTCTGTTCCGTTCCGTTCCATCTTTTATTTCTGTGCATTCTATAACTTTTATCTTTCTATTTATCTTTAGCTTTAGCTGTGTGTGTGTGTGTGTGGTGTGTGTGTGTGGTGTGTTCACTTAATAGATACATTTTTGTAATTGGTCCTTTGGTTTCCGAACTTTGCTTAGAAGGCACAATTGTTAAAACTATAGTTTCCATCCACTGTCTATCTGCAGGGGTGTACATGGATGTGTGTAGATGTGTCTAGTACGGCTTGGCCGCATCCTTGGAACGTTTCAGTTGGACCTTCAAGCGCTTGGTCCCTATCTGGAAACCATGCATCGCCTGTATGGCCGCATTGGCCGAATGTGGATTGTCGTACGATACGAAGCCGAAGCATTTCGATAGGTTCGTCTGCTTATCGATGAACACCTTGGCCGACAGCACATTTCCGAAGGGCAGAAATGTCGAGGCGAGATCCGTGTCGATGAACTCCTGAGGTAGATGATAAATGAACAGATTGCTGCCATCGGGACCTGAGCGGGAGAGTTCTTTTAAGTAAAGGGGAGTCTTGAATGGTTTTTTCTGTGCTGGACTCACCCTCGATCTGTTTGCCAGCCACGCCTGCGGCGGCTGCTTGTAGGGCACTGGCATTCAGGGACTGTGACGAGGCTCCATAGGCAGCACCTGGCACCGATCCATTTGTCAGTCCACTCAGGGTTGGCGTGTAGGGATCTGCGGCACTTGCGTTCCCTGGAATCGTAAGCAAAATAGTTGTAAATATTTCAATATTTATACAAAAATTATATTTCTCAATATGGATTTCCTAGAAACAACAAAACTTGACCAGAAACAGAGAACACTCACACAGGAACAACACTCGTGCACAGATGGAGACGGGAACACACACATACAGAGAAAGAGACACACATAGATATATATATATATATGGTATATATAGTTACATCTGAACAATAAACGTGCCTCGAGTTGAGTTAACGCATATGAGATTTTCCCTTTTATTTATTATTACTTTTTTCTCACTTTTCCCTCTTTCTGGCGTTGTAATGTTTTTTGTTTCACTCGTCGTCCCTTCCATTATTAAATTTGATATTTTCTTTTATTTCTCCTCTTTTTTTTTGCCTTTGTTTTGTGTATTTTTGTATGCTGAAAAATTTGTTAGCCTTTGTTGTTTGGTCTCCCAGCGTGGCGCCAATTTTAATCGAGCCTGCCAGCCCCTTAGCCCCCCACCCGCTGCCCAAACACCTTGGCCCTCTGATGCTCGCTTTGTGCAATAATCTGCACCTTTTTTTTGCTGGTGTTTTCCTTTCTACTAAAAATTTATTACATTCTTTAGTTTTTTCATAAGGTTTTATTGCATTTCATGGCTGTAGTTTTTATGTTCCTGCAAATTACTGGAGTGCATTTTTCATCGCAAACATTTGCGGGTACTCCGCCATTTTAGATGGAAATTAATTTTCATGTTTTGCGGAATCCATAAAACTGAAGTTTACTAATTGAAAATGAACTGTAATCGGTGGGGCGGGGCGGGGAGGGGTTGATGTGGAAAAAATGGACTAAAATTTATTGGGAAACTTTCTGTATTTGATTTGGTTTCATGTGGGCCAATTAACGTTTGTTCAAAACTTTTTCAGTCCGAAAGAATTTTTTGCATGGCCAGGATTTTATCCAACGACCGGCTGGCATGAAAAAAATATATAGCGAAACCCATACGTTTTTTTAGGTCTTCATTTAGAGTATAAAAAAAGCTTAAAGGGTATTTGATTGTGGGACAGTGGAACATTGCTACTAAACGGATAAAATGGTTTCCAAGATACAGGTTTTTTCTCAACCCAATCATTTCCAGATTTAAATAGATCAACCCCACATGAAAGCTTTGACTTTGAAATGATTTTGTGCGATTAAGTCTCCCTTTTTTGTACGAAATATTAATGTAAAGAATTATCCTTCATGTAAATATTAAGCTGCTGCCTGGCTCGGCGAAAATGTCCCTTTGATATTGTTATTATTATTTTTCTAGTATTTCTATTTTTAAATGCAATCAACAATGCATTGTATGGACTGTAATTTTTTTTCCTTTTGTCAGCAACATTGATTTGAATTATTTTTGCCATTTGGGTTGGGTTTTTTCATATTTTTTATGGCCACGATGCAAAATATGTCTACGGTTTTTATTTTTTACTCATCTATTGTGCTGGAAATATCATTTTTTATTGACAGAGATGGGCAAACGGATAAACACAAACAACAAATATACGGAGAGCACCAAAAATTAAATTAGAATACATACATATGTAGAACCTACTAGTATTAGTGTTATGGAGAGACCAACATATATATGAATATATAAAGAATTTTAATTAACAATAGAGTTTTTTGGAATTGACAGGCCCTGCGGGAATTCGGAAAGGTTTTATATTAGTGTATATTTATTTTTTACCGAGCGTCTGTATAAGAATAGAGAGATAGAGAGCCTCGATTCAGAAAGAAGGGATTCTGGGATCAAATTGTAGGGAAAAGGAAAAAATTTGGAATAACCAGTTGGGGGCTTGGAATATAGTTAGAAAGCATATTTTCGTAATTGCTTCATGTGCAAAATTTTTAATTAGTAAAAAATTTACCTAGTTAGGGACTGTGAAATCTAATGTTTTTCTATAATTTTAAAAGAAATATCTTTTAATTAAAGATTATCTGTTCTACTTCTTCTGGTAAAAAGACTGAAGAGTTCTGAAGGAACCCCAGGGATTTATTCATCAGATTGTGTGTTAAGTGTTCCTTCAAAGT